GGAAAGGTAACTCTGTGACTCTGATTGATTTTTCTCATGATCTACAGCAAATGAATTATCAGAGTTGCAGCATGAGCTACTAAAAAGTATCCATTTTATTTTTAAATATGCATTTATTGGGGAGCTGTGGGACGGAGTTCACTGAACTGGAAAATGCCTATGCATATGACAGTATTGTTTTTTTATTTCCACTGAATGGTATGGAAAAGATTATTTGGTGACTGTTAGCGTAGTGTGTTTTCTTTCTGAAAATATATGGGGTACTAAGTGGTACAAGGCCGGCATTACTTGATTGCATTTTCTATCTTCCAACATCTATTGTTGGCTCTAGAAAAAAATATTGTCAGATGCTGCTACCCAGGCTGGGCCCTGGCCTGCTACTGCAGTGCCTGTCAGAAATCATTAGCTAGTGTTCTCTTTGACTAATGTTGCGGTTGATTGTCTGATTCATGTTCAAGATCTGTAAATGAGGCAGAAGCATCTTTACTGTTCACCAGCTGTGAAATGGCTAAACACTGTTAGATTTTCAGAAATCAAAATAAATGTCTTTCCAATAAAGTTTGACAATAATATCAAGTGCCAAAGCTGAGAGCTGAACTGTGGTTTTGTGTTTTTTAAAGTTACAGTATTATAAATCAATATTATCCCATCATGTTTTTGTCAGAGTAATGTTTTTTAGTCAAATGATAAAGTACTGCCAGTAACATTAATCTTATGTTGACTTGGATAGGCATTCTTTATTCAACATAAATTCATACCTTCAATTTTTACTCTTTCATCCATTATCCCCAGATGTACACATTGAGGTTTAGCGAAGCTTATGTCCTATTTTGTTAATCTACAGTGTGTAGCAATGAGATGTGTAATGTGTCTCTGTATATACAAAAGGAATGCAGGTGTGACAACAGCAACAACAAAATTTTAAAAGATGAGATTTTGGAAACAGGCAGATCTGGGAGAGTGGATGGTGTTAATGGCATAACCTCAGGAGGGTTGCATGGCAGAATGCTGAAATAACGGAAAAGCAAATCTAGGTGTGAGATCTGACTGGTGTTTTTCTTAGCTAAGGAGGCAAACGTGTAATTCATCACTATGTACAGAATTAGTGTGAGAGCTATGCCACAAACAGGACCTACTTTGGGAATTTACCCTTGTTATTTTGCTTTATTTCTGTGCTGTGACAAATTGTAGCCATGGTAAAGTTGAAAAGAAACAGGAGTTGCTGATTCTGTAATCAAACTGCTGCTTCCATAGTAGCTATCCTCCTTCCAGATGCACCCAAATGCAGCTGCTATGAAAAAAGAAAACAAAACAATCATACAATGCTACTTCAGATATTTTAATTTCCATTTTGGAGCGATAAAAAATAATTTTTCACCCCTTTTTTTTTCCCAATATACAACGAGATAATAGTGGATGGTGCTTTGAACAGTGATCTGTTGAAGTCTTCAATCTACCACTTCTCCGAACCCAGGAGGACAAGTTACTGAAACTCAGTCTTCATTTCTGTATTGGATTTTGATTTTCACTTCATTTTTTAAGAGACAGTTTTTATTTTTTGAGACAGTCCTTGTGCATGCTCACAGAGGGCCAAAAACCTAATTTGTGAACGTAATCATTGCAGCTTTAATAGTCTTTATTTTGTTAGTCTTACCTTACTTTTTCTAAGTCAAACCATACATTATTTTTATTTGTTCAAGTTCATATACCGTGAAATTTTCCCACACATTGGTTGGAATATGAAGTACTCTTTGAAACAGTACAGAAATTTTACAACGATGCTTGAACCTAGCATCATCGGGATAAAATTGTTGCAAGAGCATCTTTTCTCAAAACTCTTGGTACATAGAAAATAAGTAAATAAATAAATATGTATTGCTCCTTCAGTAACTCTAAATCTCTGCAAACTCTGACTTTTTGAAAAGGCAAATCAGCTAGATTTGTATAATGCCCAAGCCCACTATTTTAAATGTATATTAATAATACAGATTCTTATATAGTCCCATTCAGTATTTCTTTACACAATTTTTATTTGCATTTCCTTACCAGGAGAAAAATTACCAAGATGAAATTTTAATGTACAATATTTACCATTAAATACTGGAGCAGAAGTGTGTTCCCTTAACAAGCAGATTTTTGTTCTGCAGTCTAAATCAATTTTTCCATCCTTTGTGTAACGGTAGTTGTATTCCATAAGATCACAAACACAACAAAACTGCAGATTTATGTGTCCAGCACTAGTTATTGACATCTTCCATCTCTTCCTTGAATGATGCTGTCTTCTGCACAGATTGGCTAAAATGAAAGACCTGTTTCCACATGTAAATTCCATGCAGTCTGGATGGTCATTCTTCCCAATATTTATCCTCTTATCAGAGTACTAGCAGGTGAATGACCCAGCCATGCCCACTCTGACTGAAGTCTTACCACAAGCATGTCTTTTTTTATATGGTATTCATAGGAATACAAATGGATTAACTGGTTGTTAATATGCCTTGAAAATAAACCAGGACATTGTACTGTCCATTTAGTGTTTTCAGGCTGTTTACAAATTCCGGTAGCAATCACCGTGTCAATTCCATTTGATTCATCATCATGAAAGATCTGTAATTTTCTTCATTTTAAATGATAATTAAAATTGTACTATAATTACAGGAGTCTCTAATGTTAACATATTAATTCAGTGTTTTATTCCACTCTACCTCCCCTTTTTTTCCTATCTTGAATGTTGAAAAAGAAGCACTAACCATAGGTGAGGAGGTCCTTTTTTTTACATAACCCACATAAGTGGATCCTGGGCAACTGTAGCATAGAGGGGAATAGTTTCTTACCGTCACAAAAGTGTCCCTTTCTGTGTCCCCACCAAGTACCTGAAGCTGGAGGAGTTATTTGAAATGCAGACGTAGAATATTTTTTAATATATTTTCTATCGAAATCTGTCAATATTTCTTTCCCCAAGATGATTTAATTATTTTTATTTCATCTCTGTTTAGAATGAAACGTATGATTTTTGAAGATCTTGGATTTAAAATTAATGTTCCTAATTAAAAAAAGAAAAAAGACTTCATTTATTTACTTACTTGCTTCTTTTTAGCAGATGTAATGTTTCTTTTTAGCAGATGCTCTTTTTGCAGAGATGTAATGAGCTGACCTTTTATTTGATCTGCTCTGGCTATGGCTTTTTCTTGGCTTTCATCTGTACTTTTTAGGTTTTGTGATATCTTTGACAGAAAAAACAGCATAGCAGCCTAAGCCTTGGGCACGTAAGTAACCTTTCAGTGCTAGATAGGAACCACTGGAGGCCCTGTGGCCTAGTTTAATAACACAGAGGTTAGTTTGAAGTGGTGGTGATTTTCAGTCCAGTACATAAAATTTTAGAAACCTGATGCTATCATGGCAGGCTTATTGACATGGGCACTGTTACTTCAACAAATGTTGCAGATCCCCTGAGCTAAAAATGCAGCACCAAGAATTCTTTCTTGGTTCCCAGCCTGGATTATCTGGAGGACAGACTGCAGGCTTTCACAGCTATGCTTATGCATCCAGTTTAGGGTGAGTTCTGAACTGATGTGACAAGTTCATAACAGTAGTGCCTTCACTTTTTTTGTCATATCATATGCATCAATAACTCAATTGAGAATGACCTTCAAGTATAGGATGCAGTGCTGATGTACAACATCAGAACACAACTTTGATAAGTACGTGAGGAAAGATAAGGAGCATGTTGTACATTAGTAAGCTGCACATTTGGTGTACAGAGCGTCCGTAACTGGAAAATAAGAGCCTTGTCTAGCAATACATCTATGTGTATTAAAGCTCCTTCAAGAGCTAGGAAAGTTGTGCAGTAGAAACAACATAGGGTTAGCACACACAAGCTGTATTCTTTTGAACCACGCACTTTGCCAGTGACAGGGGACGCAGTCTTTATAGGAAGTGCCCTATCTTTTACTTTACCATAAATAGGCATCTTGGGGCACGCAGGCTACTGTCACATGTCCCTGTGCATCTCCCATCCCCCTTCGAAGCTGGTAAATGACATTCACTACTCCTTTCTTGGAAATGTGCAAAAAGGATTTCCATAGATAGTCTTCGGAGATTTCCTGTGTTCTCATGTGTGTAATAGGTTGGGTCAAGCAACAAAGAGAGAAGAAGGAAAGAACAGGATTTAATTTCATATGCATTCTCCCTTCGCCACCATTGGAAAAAAAAAAAAGGTTGAAAAGAGAAATTATGCAATACAGGTGATGTCAGTGTTAAATTAAATTAAGATCATATGTTTTTGTGCAGTTGCTGTAAGCCCTCAGTTATGAGAGAGGTCACGATGAAAGAGCATATCCCAATATTAACAGGTTGCTGTGTGCATGAATAATTAGTCATAAGTATAACAAAATTTTCTACAGTATTTTAAGTCAATCCTTGCTTAAACATGTAAGCTGTAATTTATTCAATTCTTATGCACTTGAATTGTACTAAAAAAGTTCTCATAGTGATACTTTAAAGAAAGAAAAATAAATAAATTGTATTTGAATGTATTTTCTAAAACTCTGTGAATACGAAGGGCATCGTCTTAATGTATTGATTCATAGAAATTCATGAAAGCACATATTTTTGAAATATTTTAAATTGTGAGTAAGGAAATTTAAATTGTGAATCTGGTAACATCTCTTTGTTTTTTGCAAAGCTCCAAAACGGGGATATTTAAATACAAGTTTGATCTTTTCAGTTTGTAGTTATTATGTAATTTCAAACAACTGTGAGTGATGATCAAAAACTTGTTTCTATTGCAACTAATTAAAAAAGAAATGCAAATATGGGAAAACTTTAATTTTGCATTTTATATGAGCACAAGGATTGCAAGCACGCGCACACATCCTGCCTTCCCCCCCAAAAAAATAAGAAAGAAAGAAAGAAAGAAAGAAAGAAAGAAAGAAAGAAAGAAAGAAAGAAAGAAAGAAATCCATAGCATTGTATTTATTGGATTTTATTTTTCTGTTTCACAGATTTTGAACACCTCTATAAAAATCTTCACAGCACTGTGTGATTCTGCAGGCCTAAGAAGAGCATATGAAGCTATAGACAAGATCCTGGTAAGGTAGGTTAGCACATCCTTGTCTGGCTGTCAGTGCAGATTCATTCAACTGTGAAAGACTTAAATTGTTAGAGGTCTGTCGCTTCCCATTACTGACTGCTTAAATTTTAAGCGGCGCCCTTCTTGCAGTAAGTGACCCTTTCATTGAAAGTTATTTTAGACTCTTACAATTTTTTTTTAAGGTATGATCCAAAGCTTTTCTGTACCTATAAACAGATTTATGCTTCCCCCTCCGACCCCCATAATTTGAGGGCTTTTTTTCTTCTTTTTTTTGTTTTCTTTTTTTTCCCACAAAATTGGGAAAGGTCTTGCTGAAGAACTGGAATCCAGGCATATTTTTCAGGCTAAAAAAGATAGAAAAACTCTAAGAATATAGTATGCTTCATCACTCTGATACAGTTTGTTGTTCATATTCTGAACATTCTAAAAAAGCACACAGGATAAGACATTCAAAAAGCCATGAAACAGACTTAAAAGATCAGGTCCCATCTTCAAAACCTGTGTAAGCTTAACTGCAAAAGATGTTGTTGCTTGTACGCCAGCTATTGCTATGACTGAATTTTACATAATTGGCTACCGTGATACAGTGAGACAGTAGAAGTGAGGTGTCTGAGCTCTCAAGAGCATTCATGACTTCCTTGAATTTACAAAAAGCAGTAGTCTGGGTAAAAAGTGGCCTATGACAGCCAAGAGGGCATACCTAGAAAATGCATATTGATTTCCTTTTTCTGTTTTAGATACTCTGGAACAAAAGCACCTACATGTATTTAGTGTGAAGCCCAGTGGGAGGCCAGTCACAAGCAGTAGACCTAGGACACCAGAGGTTGATATTAGCACCAATACTGATTAGTACCTTTGTTAACAACCTGGATGATGTGACCAAGTGCACCATCAGCATGTTTGTGGTTAATATAGAACTGAGGAGAGGTAGATGATATACCACATGGTCGTGTTACCATTCAAACAGATCTAGCCTCTCTGCAGAAAAGGACTAATGGGAGTCTTGTGAAGTTCAGGAGAGGGAAAAGCAAAGTCCTGTACCCTGGAAGGAATATCCCCAGGCACCAGTATAGGCTGTGGACTGACTGGAGGGAAAGCAGCTTGGCAGAGAAGAGCCTGGGTTTTCTAGTGAACAAGAGATCCTGAGCCAAGTAGCCCAAGAAGCCAGCAATGTCGAGTCATGGCAAAAACAACCTGCATTACAGAGAGCATTGCCAGTAGGTCAAGGGATGTGATCCTGCACCTCTACTCAGCACTGGTGAGGTTGCCTCAGGAGCACCGTATATGCTCCATCTCTCAGTGCAAGAGAGACTTGAGCACAGTGGACCAAGACCAGAAAAGAGCTGTAAAGATGATATATTGGAGCATCTGTGCTGGGAGGAGAGGCTGAGAGAGCTGGGATGCTTCAGCCGTGGAAGAGAAGGCTCAAAGGGGATCTAATCAATATCTCTCAAACAGCAGTAAAGAAGACAGAGCCAGGCTCTTCTCAGTGGTACTTGCTGACAGGACAGAAGGCAATGATCACAAATTGAAATACATGAGAGTCCACTTAAACGCACAAAAAAAAATTATTGTGAGGATGAATGCTGAAACAGGTAGTCTAGAAAGGTTGTTGGATCAAAACAACCTTCAAAAATTATTCAAAACCCCCAGGACACAATCTTCTTCTATTTGACCCTGTTCTGAGCCTGGCAGATGGACTTGATATCCGTCTCTTCCAACCTTAACTATTCTGTGGCTCTGTGATCTTTGTCTTAAGCAAGTCCTTCTGTTTAAATGCATTTTTGCTATGTGTTGCTCCCTAATAGAAAAATTTCTGTAAACCAGGATGACAAATGATATTTCAGGCAAGCTTACTTTTCAAAACTCAGCAGCAATACTTTTCATAAAAAAGTTTGGGCTGGTCCAGTTCTGCACGTTCTTCCTTGGTACTTGACTTGGAGGAGAAGGCATGAAATAACAGTGCAATGTTATGTAGAAAAAGCTAATGTAAAGAGAGGCTATTAAATTGTTAATTTAGAAAAAATACAAGTTTTGTTTACTTTCATACTGAACTTTTGGATATTTGCTTGATATAACAAAGAAGTCTATGTCTGGTAAATTCAGAAAATATTGGATGAATGCACAAATAATTACTTTTGGTAGCAGTCTCGAGACTCAACTTGATCACTATCTGTTTTGTGGGGTTTTTTTAGCCTTACCCAGACTAGTGCAAGTCATTTTAAACTTGATGGATAATGCCTTTGAAAAAAAAAAGAAATGACTGTATTTCTCTAGCTTCTGAAACAGTGCATTATAATCTTAATGTCTGTGAGAGTCTGTACTGAAAGCCTTGTGACATATTGGAGAAAGAGGCAGAGCCCTCCCTTATGGCTCAGAAATTGTCTATAGCTTTGGAAATTTTTTTGAAATCTTTGCTACAGATGTTTCCACAGACCATAGGAAACAGAAAATCTTTATCATCTGCATTTAGGCATGTCATTTTCCAGGGAAATATCTGACATAATAGCATCATGTTCTTGACTTATTCTGCCAGTGTCCACCATGGTAATGACTTCTTGTGGACGCATGATTTATACATCCAATTCAATCACATGAGCAATCCTATAAAAGGTGCATATTTTCATAAAAGTCTAATAGGAGTAAAAATCTCATAGGGCATTTTAGCATGAAACTGGAAAATGAGTTGCTGTAGATGTGTAATCTCTTCTGCTGAAGTCATCATAACTGTTCTGTGGGATCATGAATGACTATATCTTTAGGAAATTGCATTTTATGCATTTAGGAAGGTGATGTCTAAGGAGAGAGAAAGTATATGGCTGTAAAAAATAACATGTCGATTTTTGAAGGAACTATGAAATATTAGAACTTTGAGCAAGAAAGACTGTTTATCATGTTATCAGGTCATGTGCAGGATGAAGTGCTTCAGTAATCCTTCTACCATACTTTACATACCTCAAGCTGTAGTGCTTTTAAAAGTACTTCCTTGAAAAAATTGTTGACTGTACCGACTGGCTGCTAGTTGGCATATGTGAAGTCCTAACACTGAGAACCATCTTTCTTTCTAGTATGTGTCAAATTGATTTCTGCTTGCTTGCAAGATATTATATGCCCTAACAATTTTTATATTTTCTATACACGGAACATAGATTTTTATGTGAAATACAAAAAAATGACCAAAAATACATCAAAACATTTCTATCAATTCATGAAATTAAGAAACCCTTTTTACATTTTCTCCTGTCACTGATTCCATTTGCTTTATTACTTTCAGCCTCTAGCCCACAAACTTGGTGGCACAATCAACAAACCCCTCAGTGGCTGTTTCATCCCTGCTCTATTTGATTTCTCCACTCTGAGTAAATGATTAAGTTTTCATGCATTGGTTCAACCAAAATCTATGTTCACTCAACCACATCCTTTATTGATTACTTCTACTGCAAACAGTAGGCCAAGTGTGATATACATAATTGGACAGTTGTCAGGGGATGTGGGTGTTAACAGTCCTGTTTTCCCAATTGGAAACTGGAATCACCTTGATACACAAATATTCTGCACTGTTTCATTCTCATTCCTTGGACCGAGGAGTCCTTTTCCTCAGAATATATGTTTTTAACTCTCAAAGGTCTGGTTGAATGGATTTAATGATTGTATCATATAATATGCTCTTCAAGTTGCACCTGTGCACTGCATATAGAAAACTAGAAAAACTGGAATTAATATTTGTCTAACACTTTAACCTTGTCCTTTAACTTATATAAATCATATGCTGGATTTCTGTTGGGATACACTCAATTTTCTCTTCCTTGGAAAAAACATAGGTTAAAAAAGAGGTTTCTAAGTCTAAAATTTAGTAATGTTTTGACATTTGGCATATGTTTTTAGTACGTTTAATATTCTCATTAAAATACTCAGATTAGGAAATGGTATTAAATTCAGCTCTGCTGACTGACTACTAAGCTTTACTTTAAAGTATGTACATGAACATTTCAAATATGTTAGTTTCCATTGTTTTAGCATCCTTTTGTAGGAGTCTGGCCCTTTTCAGTGACATAGAGATCACTGAAAAATTGTAAATTTGCTGTGATGCTTTACTACATTCCCTCTCCAGTGGAGAATTGCAGACTCGTGCTGGAATTTGAAAGCACAGATCACTAATGTGGTTTGCAGTAAAAGCCAAAACATAGATGAAACCTCGTCAGTCACTTACGGCAGGAATATCACTTGAAGGTGTTTTAAAATAGAAAATAAATCATAGTTCTTTATCACGTACAGAAATTTCTGTTTCTGTGGGTTTCTTAATTAAGGGACGGCATTTTCTGTCTTGCTTGGTAGCTTGACATTTAACATGCTGTACTCCTACATTAGTGGCTCAAGTTCATGGCTCAGACTGAGGTCAGCTGCAGTAACACTTCAGCCTTAAAGGGAAAAAGAGCATAATACCTTACTCACAAGAAAACCTAGATGTCTATTATACCTTGTAACCATATGGTAGAGATCTGATGTTGTTAATAAGACCGGCTTTATTAAAAAAATAATAATAATAACATGGGAATCTGCAAGTGTTATTGCCAATCTACATTAGCCAATTTTCAACTTAGATTCAGCTGTGACCTCAGGTTTCTCTGATCTCACTGGGATTTGGAGGTGACACCTGCAATTCACAGTTTATAGGTTTGCCTGTGTGTCTCCAGCAACCTTTGATCCACCCAGCCAAAGTGCAGTGTTGTGATCACGAAAAGTCATCCCCAGCATTAAGAGACAGCACCATTATAGAGCTGCTGCTGTATTGCCAGGGTTGTGTAGCAAGAAGTGGTAAGGAAAAGCCAAGCTAGGCAAGCTAGCATTCCTGCTTTCTCCCCTTGTCAGAATGTGAGCTCCAATTGTTTTGAAAATATTATCAGCTGCTCAGATGGAAAAAAAAATAAATAGAGATTTAATAAATGGAAATTCTAAAAACCCTGCAAAATTATCAACAGCATTTTAACTACTGTCCTTAAAATAGGGCACAGTTTTCTGAAGAAGTTTGGTTGTTGTTTTTTTTTCACTCAAAAAGGTCTGATTCTGCCTTCAGATGTTCTGCGTGGACTGGTCTCGGTACAGGAAGTTTCAAAGCAACCATCTACAGTCTAAGTTTTACCACAAAGCAGATGAATCATCATAACATAAAGAGGAACAGGGGCATAGATCCTCAGCATTTGGAGGCACCATCTGGATGAATATTTAATTCTGTCCCTTGTCCTTTGCTTCAGTCAGGGAAAAGCGGCTGAAAGTCTTACGCGTTTGGAAGAGTTTAAGAAGGATGCTGAGAATGCTCATCTAAGCCAAAGTGTGGTGGATGCATGTGTGTTGATCGGCAACATTTACAATGAAAGAGTAAGTAAAATATGCCTTAAGTTTTGGGTAAGGTGAACGTTTCACACCATATTTAATACATGGGGTATTGTTCTACAGTAGGTAAATGGAAAGTCCAAATTCAGATCAGAAAAACCTTTCAGTGTTGTGAAAATTACAGATCCAAATCACAGCTGGGGCCATACATGTTCTTAAAGAGCCATCAGTTAACACAACTGAAATTTTATTATACATTAAATGTTGTGCTTTTAAAATATGAATATATATTACATTGCTTATTAACGTGCAGTTTTTAATCTGAGCTTGACTTCTTCTTTACATTCTCTCAACCAAATTTATGAAATGGGTGAAATATTTTGCCAAAGGTTAGTATCGATAATACAAGGGCTTTCAATTCTTTATGTTCCATCCAACCGATGGCTCCAATTTGGCCTGTTTAAATCAGAGGATGGGCAGTGACAGACAGTGCTAAGCTAAGTGCAACAAAGAATTCCCTTTACTGGGGTCCCTAAGGTCTTCTGAGGTGCCTTATTTCTGAGCCACGTGCCAGTCTATGAATTTGCTCAGCAGGCTGGACAGTGCAGAAATTAGGAAACACTTTTACTAAACACAGGAATACCCCTTCTAAATCATGCTGGATATTTCTGAACAGCACCTTACATGTTACTAGTAAAATACTGAAGTTTTCAGCTTGTATATATGTAGGTACACAGGCATATGCTGTAAACCTCACGCTTTCTAGCTCTTAAGTGTTTCTGTTGCCAAACTTTTGGCAGAAATTCTTTAAACAGGTTGATTATTCATTACTGAGTGCTGATATGCCTAATTTTGCTGTCCTGGTGTATTTAAGCAGGAATTTATCTTCCTTCTTTCCTTTCTTCTTTTTTTAACATTTCAGACAGCCTTTAGCAGTCACATAAATCTTGATCCGCAAAAGCAGGATCAAGATCAACAAGTATGAAAGTAGGCTGTACTTCTGGTCTCTACAATGCAGAAAGGAATTCCAATCTTACTATAACAAGTAGAGAGTGACAGGATAAGACATCTCTGATCATAGTTTCAGTCAGGTCAGTTTGTAGCATCAGGGCAGCAGAATTCTTCACAAACTGGAGAGCTGGAAGGCACCTTCCATGGAGCAGGCCAGCTATAGCTAATTTGAATAATGGACAGAATTTGTCTAGCTCTGGCAATAGCCAGAACTAGTTCTTTCAATATCAGGTAAGAGATGAACATAATGACTTGCTCCCAAGATTTTTTTTTTCCTTTAACTTGTTTCTTGACTTCTTTTTTGGTTTATTTTGCTCAGAAAAATATCATAATTTCTTCTTTGTAGGCCTGAGGTCAGGATTTCCATCACAAGTGATCCACTGAGGGGAGAGAGCTATCAGTACAAATAACTTATCTTTTTCTATATAATTACATTCATTTACTATTTTCTTCATTCCTGCTTGGTCAGGAAGTTCAGTTTTCTTTCTAAACTTTACATTTAAAAAAAAAAAAAAAAGCTTTTATACTCTTCTAACTCTTCTCAAGGTACGTAGGTCACTCTGAAAGTAATGCCTCCTGTTTATTTCCAGGCAACAGATATAAAGAGCAAAATAACACTGTTGGATAGAGCAAATTCTCAGCTACAAAACACTATTTTTCAAAATAGTCACTGCCATTAGCTATGTGTTTTCACCAGTGAACGAGGAGCCTGCGTCCCACTCTCACCAAAATAAGTATGGGCATCTTCCAAATCTCTGTCCCTCTGTTGAAATGCATCACCCACCACTTCACTGTGCACACATCTGCTGTTTGGTCTCTAACAATGTTGAGCAAATGTAGATGAATGTTAGTAGGTGCCATTTACTTCCACATAGAGGAATTCAGTGTCACACTTTTGCTTCATAAGCATTTCCACGTCAGATGCCACGTTGTCAGACTGCCCCTCCGCTGCCTTCTATCACACAGCAACAACATGTAGTCAAATACTGGTAGGAAGGTTCAGCCTCTACTACCATCCCACCAGCAGCTGCCTCTGATGTTGTGAGCCAACATAATAAAATAGGAGGCATTATTTTTGGAGCAGCCTTTGTGTTATCTGCTATAGTTTATCACAGAATCACAGAATTGCCAGGGTTGGAAGGGACCTCAAGGATCATGAATCTCCAACCCCCCTGCCACACGCAGGGCCACCAACCATTCCACCTAATGCTAGACCAGAAATGCAGACCAGCTCCTTTTTACTGGATTAATGCATTTTGGGTTTCTGCACGGTTCAGATAAACAGATAAAATCTTTGGATTTTCTCTATTTTGGAATGGCTGACACATTTTTCCTTCCTACTATTTCTCTTTTTGTTTAATTAGGAATAAATGTCTTTGAGCATACAAACTTTTCCTCCCATAAATCTGTAGGCTTTCATTTCTGTTCTTTCTGTTGCTTTGTGTTCACTGCTTCATTAGCCTCGTTTGTTGGTTGTTGTTTTTTTTTCCTTTTAAATATTTCTTTTCTAAAATTTATTATCCCAGTGGTAAATTAGGACTTTTCCTCCTGCAGGTATGACAGTGAAATGAAACAATGGTGATAATTCCTAATTGGCCTGGCTGAAATTGGTATTAATACTTCACACTGGAACAGTGATTTACATGTTCAAAATAATATCCAGGCAACTAAAAATGATCCAGGTCCTGATAAAGAAATGAGCATTCTTTTCTGTATTTTAAAAATAAAACTGCAAGGGAGAGTGATTTTCTTAATACTGTGCCATGAATCATTCTATGAGTTGGCCTCTCAGCTGCAAAATCTCGCAGGTGCAAGGGGAGCAGGTTCTAATAACAAGGTAATATACAGGTGACTGCAAGTGGTTTTTTACAATTGTTTTTATTCTTTTTTTTTTTCTCCTTTGCTAGGGGAATTATGACAAAGCTCTTGAATATTTCACTCAGGCTTTTGAGGCAGCAAACACTTTAAATAATTTGTCCTTAGTTAATGAAACAAGGACTTATTGTGGCATTGCAAAGGCTCATAAACTGATGGTGGCATTTAACAGCCATATAGAAGCAGAAGATCCCATCAGCCTCAAGTACTTGCTGGCATGGAAGGAGAACAGAAGCGACATGTGCGCTGACCCTCTCACAGTCGGTAAGACATTGGTTATGAAGCACATTAGTGCTGTATTGTCCTCAGTGGTTAAGTCATTTTTCTTGTAGAGTTTTATTAAATTATTTCTTACGTTTAACCCTATTGGATTACCCTTGTGTTGAATGAAGGTTAGATTTTCTCCTTTGTGTGCTTATTTTAAAGACAGAATTAAATAGGTTTAAAGACAGTATAGCAGAGAGAAACAGATAGCGGTAGTTGCTATGGAAGATAACTTTTTCTGTGCTGTTTTTTCCAAAGCATCACAGTTCTGGGTAAGCTGGTCTCTAAGTCTAGTCAAATGCCATGGTTTTATACTTAAGAAGAAAAAAGTCTTAATTTGCAGTCAATTCTTTAGGTACATCCAAAAATAAATTTCCTGCTATCCAAAGTAAGGAGTATGTTCTGCTTAGCATCGTTCACATCGTAATGAATTCAGAAGAGCTTTCTGTTTTATTTTTGTTATCCTAGTACGTAAGCAACATTGTGGAGAGGAGGAAAAACTCTGTGATTTGTCTTACACGTTTCATTGTCTCAGATACAGAAGAGGGAAGAACTTTGTGTGGAGTAGGCTTCTTTCTTCACTAGCAAAATTTTCATTGTCTTTTTTTTCCCCCTGTAGTATATGTAAATACAAGACAAACTGAATTATCCATTATGAGTTTACAAGTAAACTGATACAAGTAAACTGTATTGCGTTGAGGAAGAAAGAGAGAAATCTACTTGTTTGAAATTTTCTTCTCTGTATACTTGTGAATCTTGAGTGAAGTGGAAAGAGAGATCTGCCAGGGCAAATTCGCAATGGAAGTTTGGAGTTCCAGAGTTACTGTTCATAAATACTGTGTCCAGAATTCCCCTTATTCTCATATTCTCAAAAGCAAACAACTGCTTCTCTGTCTTTCTTCATTGTCTTTCTTCTGTAATTTTTTCTTTCATAGAATAGGAAAAGTTAAGAATAGCTTTGGTAATTAATTGCATATAGAGAAAAAATAGTCAGTAGCCTGGTAATTCGTGGTTTCATAGGTGTCAGGACATCAGATGCTGGAAATAAAAGAGAGCTGTGAGACAAGGACATTCACTGACATGCAGAAGAGTTAAGAACTGTTTAGTTTTCTAGTGATGCTAATAGGACAGTTCCTCCTTAATGACAGTGCATTTCTTTTTCAATGTCCTTTTATGTATATTTATGGTTTTCTTTCTTTGATAAGTGAATACCCAGCATCGTAATCAGAAACAAATTTTAGCTGGCAGAGTCAGCTTGTTCATGTCTTCTGCAAAGAGGTGAATTTTTAGACCTTCAGTGCAGAATGTAGCGAAGATGACAGGAATGTCAGCAGAGATGGTAAAAGAACTCGATGTCAAGCAACTTAGCATGTGTTTCATATGAGAATCATTAGCTGTATCTGCAGTAAAGAGATACACTGCCAACAAAAGTCAGCAGTGTCAACAGCAAAAAATAAAACATGGGGGCAGGAAGAAATAGGACAATCTTTGTATCTTCAGTATGTGCTTTACTTCTTGCACCTACGTGGTTTTCCATTCAGTTTTTACAGTTTTCTCTAGCCAGTTGTGATGTTCATTTATATCCTGAAATGCGTGTGTTCCTTTAAGCTCAAGTTTCTTGCTTCTCTTTAACAAGACTTCAGGGATAAAAAGAGAGTTATTAGAGAAGCTCTTTATGTCCTGGCAAGCATGGTAGCAGAAACAAGCTTTGCCTGCTGAGATTCTTTACCTTCAGCATTTCTACCTAGTTTACAGTGTTATTGATGGCATTACAATTTTCATTTTAGTTCCAGTAAACTCTAGGAACCCTGTGGCTACTGCATATTTAACAGCTCTTCCAGTTCAATATCATTTTTCTCATTAGTGCTCCAAGCTTACTCTCAAGATACCCAGATTACATCCAGAAAAACATAGTGTCACACTGTCAGCACCGTCTGTAACACTCTTCATGTTTTGTGTGCCAAATCTCTAGTTAGAGCTGGCATTACGTTGTTAATATTTTTCTCTGGCAAAACACGAGCTGGCACCTTTTCAGCATTAGGATTCACCAGCTTTGAGTTCCAGGTACAGCCTTTATTCTATCATCCAGCAGAATGTCTGTGCATCCTATGATGAACTTACCGCTTTGGAAATTCCTGCTGCGATAATAGAACAGTATTTCTTGCTCTTTCAAACAGCTCAGCATTGATAATCTGCTAGATTTTTCTCAGTCTTTTTGAGGATAAAACTGCTCAAGACAAGATACAGTACTAGTTCTTAATCCGCAGGGGAATTTAATGAAAGGAAGAAGGAAGGTAATAAGTTTTCATTTCTAACTGATCTGAGTGGATATATTTTTCTATGGACCAAAAAAAAAAAAAAGAAAAAATAAAAGTAGTTTCTGTAGTTTCTTAGCAAAAGAAATAATTAGGCTGGCAGAGGAACGATAACATTTAAATCCAAGTACTGTCAGACACCTCACATCTTCCAGCAAAGACGTATTTTCTGAATCAATCATTCCAGTAACGAAGCATGAAAACTGTAACCAAGGTTGAGGTAAATTGAGTAATTAATAAAATAGATGTTTTGACCAAAGTTGCTGCGGAAAAAAGGGATGTGATTGTCAAAAAAGCATGTTCATAAATGCAAAGGTGAATGTGTTTCTATCTCCTGTATTTGATTCAGACAGCTGACTTCACTTGTAAGAGTTTATGCCATTGTGGGATGCCACTGCAAGAACAAATGTGGGGGTTTTTTTAGTCTTTGTTTTGTCAAAAGTATGCAAAATAACTATCAGCAAAATTGGGAGGTAAAAATTCTTGTGACTCCATGTTAAAGCCCAAAAAAGGAAACCACTTTATTGTCTGAAGAGAAAGTGTTCCTCAGGCCTCTTGATAACTAATCTCCTGACTTGTTGCCTTCAGAAAGGGAGTGCAACACACAAAGAATTTGAAGGCAGGAAAATTTTCCATCAAATTTTGGATATTGATTACATGTAATGCTGCTCAGGAATTGTGTTTTCTGTGAGTGTGGCAACACCTGATCCAGGTCATTGCATCTGGCAGGGCTATGCTTCAGCAAGAGACCTTGGAAGCCCAAAATCATGTAGGCATTTTTAGGAGTAGGATTGAAGGTCACATATTTTATTTTCCTCATACTAAAAATTCTTCTGTTGTTTTCTTGAGAAATGTTATGTGCTTTCAACCAAAATTTGTATTTACATGTATTGAATTTTAGAAAATGCAACTTCACAAAATTAACATGTTTTAGTATAGGATTTTCTGTGTGGTTTTTTGTTAGTACGTTTTTGTTTGTTTTATAATAGCACGTTCACAGCACAAATCATTGTCTCACTACCACCATCAATTGTGAAGTCTTGTGATCAATAGAAATATCTTGTCCCATTAACACTTCCATTTTTCAACATGATCTGAACTATTTCTAGCATTCTATACCTGAGCAGCCTTCAGTGTGATCCAAAATGTATGCACAGCTAAAACTAGCTTAGAAAATGCAGTGAAATGAGCTTTCTTCCATACTCCCAAATACGTACTCCCTTAATATTCTTTCTCCCGCTCTCACAGATGTAAGAAATAGTGCATTCTATAATACGCACGGGTCCTTTTTGTCATGTAAAAAGTCGAGTTGTCATCCTATCTTTTCACATTCTTAAAAGATGTGGCTGAAATAAAATTAACGTGGTGAAGAATGGAGACCTTGCCAGATTAATTTTAGATTGCGCTTATCTGTGACTTCGATCGTCATTAATAAAGGATTATCCCTAAAGGGTCGTAAAATCAGAAGTGAGATGTAAGGTGAAAGATTGCACTAAACAAATTCTGTTAAAATTTCTCTATTGTAACTTATACCGCGGCTATGTAATTTATGGGCCATTGTGATAATACTGTCCAGCAGTAGAGCAGTCTGCTACATAATGTAAAAAACTGCTTTTTTTTTTTACTGTCTCTTCTTTCTAGAGTACACTAATTCCAGGAATACCTCTAACATTTCAAATCCTGGCTTCCCTCCATCAGTAAATGATGTTACTTAATACTTGTATTTCCTAATGAAAAATGGTTTTGATTTCCTAAAGTACCTTGCATAATAAATTGTACTTTTTCTATCTAGTACATGTTCATCAGTGGTAGCAGGTTTGTTGATGTGAGAACACTTAAGAGAAAGGGAATTGCACCATATCTTTTCTAACCTACAAAAACAACAAGTCTTCATACCTTAACACAGATAGGCATCCTGTGAACTGTTCTTATATGATGTCAATGAAAAGGTAGAGGCTTGTGCTAGGAGATTCCTTTCACTGCGTATTCCAAATCTGAAGCTCTGTCATGGACTCTGGTATATCCTGGTACTGCTGTGGGACTCCCAGAATTGTGCACGTGCCTGCACTCCCTCAGAGTCACTCTTCTTGTGTTTTTTTGTCGCTTGGCTGACTTATTGCATACTATATAAGTACTTACATGTGCAGTTCTGTAGTTTGCATTTACGGAAGACAGATATATAAGCTTGTGTGGTGACTGAATTAACCTGCACGTTTAATGAGTTCTCATACAGTGCTTCCACTTAGTAGTATGTTAGTGAGTTTTGTAACTAATTGTTGACTAAAGGTAATTAAATATACACGCTGTCAGTGAAGAAGCTGGACTAACTTTTGGGTAGATCAGTTTTCTTCTTATTCACTGCCATAAGGCAGAATTGATTCAGATCCTCATTTTGAACATGGTGAAGATGCCTGTGCCTTCTGATGAATTTCTGGGTCCCTCTGTCCTCTCAGTCATGCGCTTGATGTGCAAGACCCTGGAACTAGAATCCCTAGTGGGCTCTGCTTCGTGGCCCATGTGCTTATGATTTATGTCAGTACAGAGTTGCAGGAATAGAGTTTATTTGGTTGTTCAGCACATATTGTTAGCATGACCAAAAATAAAGAAAAAGAGGATTTTAGGGACAGGTTTTGATGTTTTCTCAGAAACTACTTCTGAACGTGAATTGTTCACATTTTTAAATAA